AAATACGGTATGCCACTGTCACCAGCCCGAGCCCAGCAGAGCCACCTGGCCGGGCAAGAAGACCAGGCACTGGACAGGCGCTGCGTATAGGTGGGGAGGGCCTGCAGCATAGCTTGGCCCCGCCCCGCCCCGCCCCGCCCCGCCCCGCCCCTGGCCTAGGAGCCGGGCTGGGCGGAGCAGGTGGTGCAGGCGGGGCAATGGGTTTGGCTGGGCTGTGGCTGCCTGTCGGCTGGGTCCTGTGGCCCCGGCTCCCGGCCTGCTCCGACCCACTATCCACACCTGCCCTGTCCTCCCCTCCTACCGTCGGAGCTGAGATGCCAATTCACCCGGGCATCTCCAGGCGCCGCCCCAACTGGAAGCAGAGGCTTTGGGAATAAGGGTCTCCCAGAAAGGCACGCAGGAGTGTGGGAAAGGTTTAAAGGAGTGTGGGAAGGGTTTATAAATCGTTAAAGTATATATAAATAATAAAATAAATATAACGCAGCTACTTTGGGGATTTTCACCTATCGCGGGGTCTCTGAAACGTAACTCCTGCCATCGGTGCGGGATCACTGTATTATCAGGCACTGTGAGTTATGGCACCACGTGATATAAAATTGATAAAAATTGTAACTAGTATGGACCGTTTGGTTATTTTTATCCCTACTACACCAGAATTTGCCGAGAATTATTCATTAATTGAAACCATTTTCTAGGTTGGATATTATTTGGAAAACATTTTGGACTACGTCCACAATGGTTGCACATTTAATAGAACTAGAAGCAAAAAAAGCAAGTGCTTAATATATTAGGACTGCAAAGGTGATAGGCTGTGGCTTGCAAGTGTAACAGTGCTGTGAATATTCACTCTTCAATGAATGGGAATTTTTAGCTTACAATTTAGTAAGTCATCCTGGTCTTTTTCCTAGCAATCTACAGAAAAATATGGAAGAATAAACAGAATTTTAAAAATTGCTGAATAAAAATGGATAAACATCCAAAGGCAAGTGATGGATTTATCAAAAAGAACCAAATAATGTATGGCATAAATATGTAGGAACACAGTAGCTCTAAGATGTCAGAGATGGGGGGGAGTGCAAAGCAGTCTAGTAAAGCGATTTCTGTATTTGTCATGTGTACTTCACGTGTGCCCCATGCTCTTGTGTAATAAGTCTCATATGTTCCACTGTCATGAAATCTTCATAGGATCAGCACAGGAACTAAACAATGTGTAATCAAGATTCTTCAAAAACAGTTTATTAACTTGCTAGGACCTACCTTTCACTTGCATTTAGAATAAAAATTTAACACCTCCATCACCTCCCAGCCCTGATTGTTCTGGGCCCTGCAAAAAATTCTGACTTCATGTCTCACATTCCATCTTCATGCTTCAAGTTCTAGCCACACTGGCTGACTTTCTACACTGGTTCTTATTGCAAGGCCTTTGCATGTCTGTAATGTTTTTCCTTTGGCTGAATCTTTCTAAATAATTTCAGTAGGATCTATTTTAATCTCCCATAAAAGACTCCATTCCATCTCAATTAACCTACTCCCTTCCCTACTCCCACTCCATAGTCCCCACTTCCTTCAAACTTCTTATCATTACCTGAAATTTCCTTATTTGTTATTTTTAGTTTTTCCATTTCCCCATACAGAACATATGCTCCAGTGTCGGGGGTCTTCAATATCTCCTTCACGGCTAGGTCCCCAACAACTAGAACAGCATCCGACACACAGTAAGTAATGAATGAATGAACAAAGAGTAAGAGGACCCCTAGTGGAATTGCCCAATAGACAAAAAATATTGGACACAGAGACTGGACTAGAGAAGAACATGAGGAAGAACAAAGAGTGAGGTCAGGGTTGTGGGAGTTGATTATGGTTCTGTTTTTAGAAGTCTTTTACCTGATTCCAGGCAGATGGAATGGCACATGCAAGGAGAATCTTACAGCACACTCGTGACTGCTTTTCACTTTCTTCTATGGTTTTATTTTCAGCGCGTCCTGGGGTAGCTCTTGTGTATTCTCTCATGGAAGGCTGTGTTTTCTCTCTTGGGCTGCAGGTATGGCTGCATCTTGTTGGTGTTGCCAAGGGGAATCATTTAGATAGAAATACTACTCATGGCAGCTCTATAGCCTATTTAGGACTTTTAGGCAAAGAGGTAGGAAACAGTGCACTGTATACTAGGTTTATGTTGGGAAGGGGTGAGATGGTAGGGGTGGCCCCAATCTGTTTTGATGCAGAAAAAGAAAGCTGTTACTGCTGTAACTATGGTTGTTGTAACTATGATTGCTTGTACAGTCAGCAGCCTGCACTTCAAAATGGCCACCTTAGGACACCATAACTCTCTGTGCAAAGTGGGGCAAGGGGGGAAGCGTACTGTTTGTCATATCAGAAAAATCCATCCATAGGACAGAAAATGACAGAAGTCTCAGGAAGCCTTGGTAGAACATGTGCTTTTATTTTAACTGGCATGTCTACGCAAATACACTCAATCACAATAGGGAATTTCTTACACTTTGAGAGGTGGGGAAGACTTTTAGAGGTCTCCGTCCTCCTGGTAACCAATGTCTCTTGATACAGGAGCGGTATCTCAGTTTAGGTTCCTGCTCAGGACTAAATGAGACTTCAGTTTTGGTGTAAAGGTGCCAGCTGCCTGATCAAAAATTAGATCCTAAGAATAAAGACAAAATGGAGGACCTAAAGTGGCTGGGGATGGAAGAGCTAAACTAAGCCTGTGTCTGCAGAAAATGTCCAAGGATGGCAGACCTTAGTTCAGATCAACAGCGGAAGCATGGGGTGAAGGTAGAGAAAACAGGTAAGGAAGGATGGCCTGAGCCCCTCAGAATAGATAAGTCAGGTAAGGAACGTGTGCAAGTAATGGACAGCAGAATTAGAAAGAGCAGAAATGTTAACCAGCAATGACTCCGTATCTTGGGCCTTTTAGCTTCACATGGCTCTCCTGTCACTGGTCAAAAGCTTTCCATGAGGAGATCCAATCACTATGTAACAACTTTAGTGAGTCTAAATCAGAAGTGGTTCAATTCTAAAACTTGGGATAAGTCCATTACCAAGGGAGGAACAATGACAGCAGAATGTGGATGTCTGCAATGAGTCATCCAGTAGTTCTGATCACTTTAGGCACTGCTGAGAGATATGTAGCAGCTCACTACAAATGCAGAACATGTACTTATATCATTTATTCTCCCAGACTAACAGAAAACGTGTTTCTACTACTTTAGCTTACAGATATTATTTAGTCTGGATTACAATCAGATTTTTACAAACCAGACTTTGGCCACATAAAAAATAAATGTGGTTCACAATAAAGTACAGGGGCTGGAAGTAAGAAGAGCTATGTTTCCAACCTGGCTCAGTTGCTGTTCAGCTGCGAACTTGTTTCACATTTCTAGGTCTCAATTCGTTCATCTATACAGTATGGCAGAATGGATCTCAAGGCAGAAGTTCACTGTAGAAGTTTAAAAGCAAATGAAAGACATGGCACCAAAACAAACTGGACTGTCTCATGTAATCATCCATCTCCATAAAGGGATTTACTGGCCACTAATTTAGTAAGTATTACCACAGGACATTTATTTACAACTTCTCAGAAAAGCAACTGTAGTTCTGGAACAAGTTCAACAGAAGTCTTAGGTCATTTCCGGTCTGAATGAACAATTTTTTTGGGTTGGTGGGGAGACAGGGCTAGGTGAAAGCTGAGCTGTGTGTCCTTCAGAAACACAAGGAAAAGTCAGCCTCTATTCTAGCAGTGTTTGGACTGAACCGGCTGCTACCCAGGTGTTAGCCCCTTACCTTATGTCACTAACGTTTCTATCCAAAATACACTAGAGTTCTCTGTGCTTATTCTGAGAGCAAAGAACATCTGTCAAGCATCCTCTATGGGTTTAGCATTTCCAAGACATTTAATATCCATCCTATCATTTAATACTCAAGCCTACCTTAACAGGTAGCTACTATTGTTGTCCTCATTTTACAGGCAAAGAAACAGAGACTAAGAATGGTTATGACCTGCCCCAAAGTCTTATCATTAGAGTATGGCAGAGACCTAAAATAGAAGTTTTGGGTTTTCTGACTTTATAGCCCATGCCTTTTCTTCTATACCATCATGCTACCAGAAGAAAAAGAAGTACAGTGAAAAGTGAAAAATAAAAATAATGAAGTGAGGGAAAAGGATATGCTACTAACAAAGAGCTCACCCATTCTGAATCCTTCTGAAATATCCAACTCTCAAAGAATCAGAATATTACATAAATATTCAATACTAAATCATATTAAACATAGGCAATTGAACTCTGATGATCCAGAAACTTCTTCCAAATCCTGCTATCCCTTAAGAGTGCTCACTAACAATAGGAACTACAGATAAAAGAGAAAAGAAAATGCCAGGCCACAGAAAAGCCAGATCATCTGCTTCCAAAATTCCAGGGACTTCATGGCTTTTAACAATTTTTATTACACCAGGTCAAGGAAACACATGGAATATACCAACATGGTCCTGCCTCTCTGGGCTTACATTCTAAATATATATCCATCTCATATCCAATAGAAGAAAATCCATTCAAAAAGATCTCACCTTTCACCAGATCCTACCATTAAAATCCTAAGTAGTCATGTATCACTGTGCACAAGATTTTTGGGAATCACAAGCTCCTTACAAAGCAGAGCTTACAAACAACTGGAGAACATAACTGGTAGTTAAATGAACCCCCGCTGGGTGGGACAGACTGCATGAGGCAGTGTGGCTGTGTGGCGGGAGAGAAGTCCAGACCTGCAGCAGATCGCTGGCCCTGCTGGGGGTTACCAAAGCCAATACTGATTAATACACGTTTCTCGGCTGTCTCAGTGCCTTTATTCCTAGCAACGTTAAACCATGAAATAGCTGCAAGCAACCATGTCTAAATAAGGAACTCAGTGTCTGAATCTCTAGGAAGTGATCAATTTCCAAAAGGCATCCCTTGACACTCTAGAGCAGACTGGGATGAAAGTTGTACCGGAGGCTGGAGAAAAGCCCGATGTGCTTCACCAGGTTGGGCTCCACCACATAGGCCCGCTCTCCTTTGGCCCTCAAGAGTGAGTACAGTGCCATGTCCTTCCCGAATCCTTTGTGGCAATACACCTGGGACAGGTAGGTGAGGGTTCGGCGGGCTGCAGGTGCGGGGAAGAGCATCGCGGGGGTGCAACACTGAGAGGCAGGAACCACGCTGTACAAGGAGGGACTCAGGCGCCGCAGTTCTAGGAAATAGTGCCGGCCCACCAGTTCCACCAGTCCCATACTGTACAGGGAGAAGAAGAGCAGGACAGGCCAGCTAAAGCCTGGGCGGCTGGCAAACCTCATGTATATCCAGGTTAGCAAGGGCCCCAGCAGCATGCCCACGCCGAGCCACTCCAGGATCCTCATAGGCTCGGGGTTGATGTAGTGCTGGAGCCTCTCAGGGTGATAAAGCTTAAGATACAGGGCATCTCGGAGGTGCGGCTCAGAGAAGCGAGCCCGCAGGAGGTGCTCCAGGACTGGGAATATCTGCTCTTCTGGAACTGCATCATCTTCCACCATCAGGACGTAGTCTGGATTGTAGGTTTGCAGTGATGATTCAAGGCAGTACACATAGTCTTGCTTTTCTTTCTCAAATGAGTTGGTGGAAGGGTCATCGCCATAATCATCCTCGGTTCCCTCGTAGCGGTTGGCCACGGGTACATACTTGGAGAGCAGCTTGGCATCAAAATGGCTCACACTGCGCTCCACGTTGCACAAGAAGAGCTGGTGCCCCTCACACTGGGGGCCACACTGCTGCAGGAGCCGGTGGAACTGGGACACCACCTGTAAGACGTAGTGGAAGCCAGGCTGCCTGTCCACAGTGATGATGGTGATCACCAGCCAGGGGCGGGGCGTGGCCTGCCAGACAATGGGCACTGAGCCATTGGCAGAAGGCAGCTCCTCGAAGTAGTGGAGAGCAGCCTCCCCTTCCTTTAGGCTTTGCTGCAGAAACTCTTGGCTCATCTGGTTCAGATGCCAATTGCGCAGATAGAAGTAAGAGTGCAAAAGTCGGTGACAGGCCAGGGGAGCCAGCAGGCCAAATGTCACTACTGTTAGGATGAAGAGCTGGACAGCAGTGCTGCCCCAGGAGAGTCGCCGCAGCCTCCGGAGGAGCATGGCAGCTGGAGAAGGGGCTGTGTTCTTGAGGTCAACTCTTCATGTCTGATCCCAAGAACAAACCATCCTGGAACTCAGGCCAGAATCATTGCAAGTCAAACCTAAAGAAAGAGGAAGTAGAGAATGATCAGATAGCTTTAAGAAAATTCCAACAACTGAACCCATTACATATCAAACGGGGAACTCTAGCTCAAGACTCTGTGCTACTAGATACTATATTTTGTATAATGAACTATTCTTTGGTTGTTTCTACTAGTGATCCACACAATGCTTTTATTCCTTCTACGAATACGGAGATCTTAGTGCTTTTGCCCAAGTGCCCATGCCTAAAGACGCTTAGTTAGGTGTCGAGTGTGCAAGAAAATCACTAGCTAGCCAGGTAAGATAATTATTCTTATTTGCCGGCTACATAGTAATGGGTTCTTTGGATGGACACACACACACACACACACACGCACGCACGCACGCACGCACACACATACACAGAGACTAGGCCTTACAGGAAATATACATATCTAAAGCAAGTTCCAGCATAAACATACAGTAAGTACTTATTGATTAACTGTGCACAGTTTCTGAAAACTCTTGTCTTTTCTGCATATGTCAAACAAACAAGCAAACAATAATACTTAGGATTCTCTGAAATGTCAGTTGATATTATTTTCCCTTCATACTTCTCTAAGCTCATGCAGCTATACTTCAGATTGCATAATCACTGAGTTGTGATTGTTCTTCTATTTTTATAGAACTATTATAAAAACCAGTGAGACAAAGTATCTCCCATACACAAGCAAACTCTAGAAGCCTCGGCTTGGGAGGGACGAGAACATCTGAAAGAAGATCTACAAGCAGCTTTCAATGAGAGAGGAAAGAAGTAAACAGAGATGAAGATAGAAGAGATGGTTTCCCAACTCTGATCCAGAAAGAAATGTTGTGGAAAGGGGAGCCTGAAGGCACAGGCATTGTGGTGTGAATCCCAGCTCTGCTACTTATCACTAAGAAGTCACCTTCTCTCTATATCTTCGGTTCCGTGGCTCTGTAATGGAAGTAATAATACCAGTCTCATGGGGTTACTGAGTATTAAGTGTGTTCCCCTAATGCAGAGTAAAAAAAAAATATCCTTATATTCAAACTCATGTGATATTTTAGAAGTAAGTAGGTCCAACATTCTGATGGAAGGCAGACTTGCATCTAACAAAGAATAAAAAAGACAATGTCAGTATAAGTACAGTAAGGTCAACACAAACTGAATGTTGTCTGTAAGTATTGAAAGTAAAACACAAGTCTGTTTTGAGCAAAGAGCAGATTACATTAGGGAGCCTCAGAGGTGAAAGAGACTACTCTAATCTCTTACCCCAAGTAAGGGATCTGGGCAGTACCCAAGGAGGGAAAGAAGCAAGAGGAGGTTTGAATATTAGGGAATCCTAGGCTTGTTGGTTTATGAACTTCTAGAGTACTCCAGTCTGATTGTTTTCCCTCTGATCTTCTCAGATCAGTGGGGCTATACATCCATGTGCCTCATCACTTCCACATCACAACTGGTAGAGGCTAAACACCAAGGTAGAGGTAGAGGCCTGAACTCATGCTTCTGGTGTAGTGAACCTGGGAATAGGAGCATTCAGGTGGTTTCCTGCTTGAACTGTCCTCCCTGTCCTTGCTACTACTAAATATAAAGCCAGTAAGGTCAATGTAAACTAAATACTCTCTATAGTATTGAAAGTAAACCTTTTGCCTAAGAAGAATGACAAGGTTTGTACACATTTGGAAGAAAACAGTTCACTTGTGACTTATTACAAATAACGGGCTGTCCAGGAGGGAGCTAAATAGAGTCAACAAGTTAAGTCAGGTAGCCAGCAAAATGCCAGGCACCTGGCAAGCCCTAGTACTACTAAGATATGACAGGTAGGACAGAAATGGGAATGCCTAGAATTGATATGAAATGACCTTTAACCTCAGGCAATTTCCCCTATGGGCACAATAAAATCATTAACAACTTATACAGCGTTCTTTTTTTTGTTTGTTTGTTTTCCCAGTACAGGGAATCGAACTCACGACCTTGTGCTTGCCAGGCAGGCACTGTGCCGCTGAGCTAAATCCCCAGCCCCCTATACAATGTTCTTTACTTTAAAAATATGCCAACATGACTGCTGTTTCATTAATGATCAGGGAAGAAGAAGGGTCTACTACAGAGGACGAACTGTCCTCGCCTGCAGTGCTTGCTGGGATGATCAACAGCCCCAAACCAGTATAAGCTATAATAAAAATATGCATTTCTCATGCACAGACCTGTGGATAGGTGTGGCCCAGCTGGATTTAGAGCCAGAATTTCTATGAGAAGCAAATGACTTGACATGCCTCTCCTGCTATATCGAAGTGCAGATGAATAGCCACCTGAGGTGGGCTCTCATGTTGGACAGAAGCCTTACACAGGCCCAATCAAAATATACAAATACATTTACACGCTTCCTTAGGTGTGCCACAAACCAAGTTCGCGCCCCACCCACCGGTCAAAGCAACAGGGCATGGAAATTCACTCCTTCCACAGAGCATGGGAAGGGAGAGGTGAAGGTTCAATGTAAAGGAAAAGCAGTAGGCTAGTTTCTAGATCCTCGGGAGAAAAGATGTAGCAATCTGCTCAGAAAAACTTCTAGAATGTTCTTATGGCATAAAGACCCACGCACCCTATCACTGTACACTGGCAGAGTAAGGACAGGATTTAGTAATAAATCTCATTAGCTGATAAGAACTAGTATTTCTTGGTTTTGATTTTTACATATATGTGACAATGAAGTATATATAATTCAGGTATATGTGCTACAAGTAGGAAGCAAGAAATACCTCTTATTCTAAAGATGCCACAGAAGAAATCAAGAAATATGTGACATTACACCCCTTTCCTCTTACATTAGGTTTTAAACAAACAGATTTGAATCCTAGAATACTTTTTAATTATGTTGAATTTTTAAAAATTTATACATGGGTCATGAAAACAAGAGAGTAAGACCCATTTAGAAACAGAATGTGTATTATCTGCTCATACTGATGTAAAAATAAATACAAAACAATAAAACCACGTTTATCAATTCCTACAAGCCCCCTTATAGTACATTTTCTTTCTTTCCTTCCTCCCTCCCTTCTTCTCTTCCTTCTTTCTGCTCTTTCTCTCTTTTTTAAGAATAAAGGTTTTGGTGCTGCTTATGTTAGTTACTTGCTCAGAGGGGTCCTCTCTGCCTCTGTTCCATGTTGTCTATACTCCAGAACCCTGGCAGGGGGAGCTCCTCTTTCCTTACATATTTGCGGGTTTTGAGGCAGACAAAAGGCAACTAGTCAATGACTTTGGAGATGCACACCACCTCTAGAAGGGGCAGGAGGTACTTAGATCAACAGTACAAACTAGCACACCCATCTTGCACCATAGGAGCTGGGGACACACCCTTCAGATGATTAGACAATTAGACTCCAGCCACAGTGAGTTATGGAGAGATCCAGGAGCACGCTCTCTTTTGCCTTCTAAGCCATTTTCTTAAAGGCTTTGAACAAGTGCAGCTCAGGAGGTCATCACCACCTATAATTCAGTTCACTTTATTAATCTGGTTTTAAGACTACTGACCCAGAGGAAGAAATCTAAAGACATGTGATTTTTCACTGGTGGTCTGGGAGAAGTTCTTTACTCCCAGCCCACTCAGGGGGTGGGACGGAAAGAGGGCTGTGTCTGCTTGAGCACTGTGATGCCTTTTCACAGAAAGCCATAGTTACCCGTGATGTCACCGACTCAGGCTGATACTCCTTCACTACGAACTGACTGACATTGCTGAGCACACACTACACTCCTAATTCTTTTTTTTAGTACGTATGTGTCATACGTATTGATCACATTCATCACAGGTAAGGTGTGCCTGTACATGATATATCTAAATTCTTTTTTTTCCCATTCCTCTCCCCTCCCTTCACCTCCCTATTTACACAAGCTTCGTTTCCATTTTTTCCCATCCATGCTGTTCTTTTTTCCCTTTCCCTTCCTTCCCCTGCCCTTCCTCCCTCCCTGTTCCTTTTCCCATTTAAATATGTTCTTCCTACTTCCCAATATCTATCCTCCATTCTGGTACTTACTTACCCTTTGCCTTTCTCACACAAGAGAAACAATGTGAAATTTGACCTTTACACTCCCAATTCTGAGGAACACTTTTTACTGAGTTCTGACCTATGCTTTCTAAGTGCACCTTGACACCCAACCGTTTCCTAAACTGGATTCTGCCTGTTACCACAGTAGGGTATAAGGCTCAGGAAAGTCAGTAAAGGACAAAGATACAGAAACACACATGAGTAAATGCACTGATATTCACAGTACACTGTAGTGCAGCTTCTGAAAGGCTATAGGTGCCACAGGGGTATGGAAGGCAGAACCCCAGGCTAGAGGTCAGGAAAGGAGCACTTAAGAATCAGCATGTTCCTAAGTCCACCATCCTTCGTGAACGATAACACCATTCTCCTAGGCAGCTTGCTCCATAAGACTGGCAAGTTCTGACTGTATCTTCTATTTGTAACTACCATTCATTATGTCTCTACTACATATCCCAGGGTTGTGCTAGATCCTTGAAACTACTTCGTCTGACCAAAATAGCAACTCTTAAGTAGTAATGGAATTTATTCCATTCAGATTGAAAAAAAATAGATTATAGCAAATCAAAAGCAGGCAATTCAAACACAGGACAAATTTTAAAGCCCATTTGCTATTTATGATGGCATTGGCCTCCTATGGTTTTCTTCATAGTCCTTTTTTGCCCCAATGGGACTTTTAAGTCTCTTTTCAGTGGATTCAGTTGAATTTTTCTTTGACAGTCGTCACAAACTCAGCACAGTACTCTATGCAGGGAACACAGTCACCGACTGCTAAACAAACAAAAGGCCACCTATAGTCTTTTGACTTCTATGAGACCCAATTCTTCAAGTATAAAAATGGGATGTCAAAGACCTGATCACAAATATGTGCAGAGAGCAACTTATTTCTAGACATTTTCTGAGCACTTACATGCCAGGCACTGTTCTAAGTACCTCACTGACCCTCATAAAAAGCCTATGAGAAATTAAGCCCATTTTATAGCTGAAAAAGCTAAGGAATCATTAATTTGTACTGAAGGGTAAAAAAGCCTTTTGGGTTGGGGTGATAAAAGTTGAACCTACAGAGGCTGATTGCAGAGCCTATGTTCTTAACCAATATGCACTGTTGTCTCTAGAAAGTATCTCAGGAAAATGAGATGAAAAACTACTAGAAATAGTAAAAACTATTGGGATGTGGTAGGTAACAGAATCAGAATATAAAAAATGTGGTTATACATATATGTATTTATACTATGCATAAAATAAATGTTTTTACCTACTAAATCAAAAATTAATAGAACAAAAGACCTCGAAATGGAAAAATACTCAACTAATGTACCTAGAAATAAATTTAAGAAATATGCAGAATATTCATGTATACTATAAAATTCTACTGAAGAACATTTTAAAAACTCATTTGGTCAGGAATGATAGCGCATGCCTGTAATCGCAGCACTTGGGAGGCTGAGGCAGGAGGATGCCATGAGTTCAAGGCCAGGCTGGGCTACATAAGCAAGTTCAAGACCAGCCTACACTATATAGTAAGACCTTGTCTCAAGAAATACAAACCTCATTTGTAGAAAAATGCATGCACCTGAGGTCATATTGTTATGTGAAGTAAATCAGATGCACAAGTTTAAAGATCACATTGTTTCTCTGATGTGAGAAATCCAAAATATACATAAAGACTAAAAGAAAAGATAGATAATAAAAAATAGATCTTTTGAAAAAGGAAAGGGAACCAAAAGATGGAGGGAGGGAGGAGGGGGGAGGAAAGAAAAAAGAATTGAGACATGTTATGTACATGTGCCACAGCTCCATAAGGAATATAATCATTATGTACTCCAAGCATGTACCGATAATATAAAAATTAAACTCATTAAGAAGTAAAGAAAAAGTACATCTTACTATCGGAAAGACTCAGAAATAGGAAGAAATGGCTTTCCCCAAAATTAACCCCTATATTTACCATACTCTCAGTTTAATTTACTTCAAGAGGGAATGGTACAGTTACAAATGAAAGTCATCATATAAATAGGTACAATCTTTGGAGGTAATACTGGGGCAGTATTTATATACATTTTTTGGTTGTTGCTGTTGTTGTCTTGAGACAGCATCTCACTATGTAGTTCAGGCTGGCCTTGAACTCACTGTGTATCCCAGGCTGGGTCTGAACTTAAAGCGATCCTCCAGCCTCAGCCTCCCAAGTTCTAGCATGACAGGTATGTGCCACCATGTGCAGTAAATTTTTTATATCTCCTTTGACATAGCAATTCTACTTCTAGAAATATAACTTGCAGAAATTCCAATGCAGACTACTAAAAATGGACAAGGAATTTTCATATCAGTTTTGTTTGTAATAGAAGGAAAAAGAGAGAAAGATGGGGAGGGAAATCTGGGGAGGAAAAAGAGAAAGGAGGAAAAATGGAAAGGGAAGAGAAGAGAGAAAAGAGGAAAAGGAACCAACTGCAGGTAAACAGCATTCTAGGAACAGGGAACAGATTTTAGATAATCATTCAAGGGTATGCCAGGAATACTTAAAAAGAAAGGGAAAGGTTTACATATACTCACAAAAAGGAAGAGGAGGAGGAGGAAGAAAAGGAGGAGTAGTCAGCATAGGTTTACTTAGGTCTTTCTGTAGATGAAAGTGTCCCTCCAAAATTCCACTGTTAAACTCTAATCCACAAGGCTATGGTATTCAGAGGTGGGACTTCTGGAACATACCTAAATCATGGGGGTGGATCCCTCACGGCAGGACTAGTGCCCTTCTGCAAAGAAACAGTTCACTGCCCGCTTCTCTACGCTATACTTCCTGTTAGGACACAGAAGGAATCCTGCCTGTTGGGTCTGAAATCAGGAAGAGGATTTCACCCGAACCTAACCTTGCCAGCATCCTGATCTTCAAATTCCTGCCTCCAGAAGTGTGAGAGCTAAATATTTCTGTTGTTAAGCCCACCGAATTTTTGGTAATCTGTTAGAGATATCCAAACAGATTTAAGACAGTCTCTATGGGAAATTGTAAGCTACGTCCATGCAAACTGTGGAAAAATGTGCATAATATGATCAATTTATTTTTTAATGTGAAGTATAATTTGGTAAAGGAGAGATGAAGAGGATGGAAGATGGAGGTTTCCTGTCTTGCCTTCTACATTTCTGCAGAGAACATCTATTACTAACATGATTGTTACTAAGCGTTCTTTTCAACAAATAGTCTTGGCCAGACACTGGGATGGTGAATGTGACAGGCAGGGAGCCCAAGCCCCTTTTTAAAACAAAAATCTCTAATCTCTACAGTTATTTTTTATATATATATATGTATATGTATATATATATTATATATATATATGGATTTTTGCAACTGTGTATTTTGGTGCTAGGACCATGTTTTTTAATCACTGAAGCTTTAACATTTTTTAATACCTGATTAGGTGTATTCTCTCTGATACCTCAGCATCATAGCTATCCTTTTTAAAAATTCAGTTTTATTGCAGTCTACTTTACATACAACAAAATGCACCATGTAATTGTATATTTCAATGAGATATGTCAAATATATATACCCACAACCACTACCACAGTTTAAAAATTGGCAAAAGTATTCAGACAACCATCTGGAATTAAAACTAGTAAAAACTACCAGGTAAGCTCTTTTGGGTGCCTTGTGACAGAGAATTATTACCTTAATGTGTTGTCTGTTTAAAACTCTGTAAGAGAAAGATATTCCAACTAAAAAATGGGCAGAAGAATTAAGTCTATTCACTCCCGTAGATGTAAACAACTAGTGTACGAAGAAAAAACGTATTGATTCCTAGGAGTAATTAAAGTCATGCAAATTAAAACCAGATAGCATTATCTGTCCATATTATTGATTTAAAACTTCTAATGCATGCATGTAGACACCAATTTAAGAAGCTATCCGGAAAATCTTAACAATCTAGAAAACGAAGTTTTAAGGTGTCTATTTTCTCTTACATTTTTTTTTCTGCTTCCTGAATGTTCCGCAGTAAGTTTATGCCATAAAAAATTCCAACAATTCCCTTCGTGTTAGTCTTCTCGCCTCCTCTAGAAATCCGCTGACGAAGCGTTGGCCCGCACCGGGTCTCGTTCTCCCGGAGGACACACCCGCGCACTCCCGCGCACACCTGCAGGCTCCGCTCGCGGTCCGCATGGTGAGATCATCGCTGGAGCCGCCCTGCGGCGCCGCCCGGCGGACACGGGCGGAGACCCGGACCCCTGGAGCTCGCGCCCCGGACTCCGCGGCCGCAGTGCGGCACGGGCACTGTGCAGGCCCCAGCCACAAGCCGGGCCAGGCACCCCCAGGGACCCTACGCCCGCGCCTGGCAGAAGAGCGTGGGGTAAAGCCCGAGCCGGGCAAGGGGCCGCCGCCGACCTCCGCAGTCTCCGCGGCGCTCAGGCCTCAGTTTCTCCCCCCGCGGGCCTACGCTACGCGGGGCGTCGCCACCTCCGCGCCGGTCCCCACCGGCCCCCCAGCTGGGCCCCCG